TTCAGCCACATTTCGTCCCAGCCACATTTCGTCTCTGCCACATCTTGTTTCAGCCAAATTTCGTATCAACCACAGTGTCCGAATATACCCGAACGATGCGCTGCTGCCAGATACAAACCGATTATCCCAATTTAGCAGGAATAGATAATGCAGCTTCATCTCGTTCCAGCCACATTTCGTCTCAGCCACATTTCGTCTTAGAAACATCTCATATCAGCCACATTTCGTTTCATCAACATTTCGTGTCCATTTCGTCTTAGCCACTCCTTGCGATTCATTCATATTTAGTGAAAAGAAGGAAGAATATCATTCAAAATAATGGCGTGTGTAATGTCATTCAAAAGCAATCTGTTAACATTTGACATCCCGTATTTGGATTGATTATTGATTGGATGGCCGTCATCTGGTATGATTGTTCACTAAATATGAAAAACTTGCCATAAGACTGCGAAATTTCGAACTTTATCTTGAAATATCTCGGTAAATAGTGGCTTGTTCACATTTTCATTATCCAAGTGCAATTTTACTCTTATGGCTGAGACGAAATGAGGCTGAAAACGAGATGTGGCTGAGACGAAATGTGGCTGAGAGGAATATGCTTAATTTATTCGATTTTGTCAAATTGGAAATTGGTGTAGTATATGGCAACAGCGCATCATTCGAGTATGTTCGGATTCTGTAGGCCAGACGAAATGTGGCTGAGATGAGATGTGGCTGAAACGAGATGTGGCTAAGACGGAATGTAGCCAGAACGGGTTGTGGCTGAGAAGAGATGCTTCCACAAATGGCACTTTCTGAAATTCAATCGACTAATCTGAAACAAAATTGACGCTTCTTGAAATTGAATTGACGCTTCTTGAAATACAATTGACGCTTTTCGAAATACAAATGACTATCCTGAAACACAATTGACCCTTTCTGAAATTCAATTGACTATTCTGAAATACAATTGATGCCTTCGACGCTTTCTGAAATTGAATTGGCGCTTTTCTGAAATACAACTCGTAAAGGTGTAGTAAACTAGATTGTCAAAAATGTCAAACGTTTAAACACAATAATAATTGTTCTCTGAAACAGACCCCCATCAGGTGAAACTACCATCACAAATTCCGAACTATAGTTATATACACAAAAAAAAACACCATTGAAAATATCCATCATCTGTTTTTATATGCTTCTTGATAGAAACTATATTGAACCGCTGTGGAAGAAGGTGAGTGATTGGGTGAGTGACGGTTCATTCCGCTCTAAACTTGACCTTCTAGATTATATGTTGCGAACCATGGAATTTCACATTTGAATAAAAATATCATTATGCATCAGGATGTCCGGATATGAGTGTCTGATACTTGATAGCATTTTATGAGCACAAATTTAAAGATGAATAATAATTATAAGTTAGGAGAACAGTACCCACACATATTTCTATTCGACAGATCTCTATAAAATTTCTTAAATGTGACTTTACCAGTATTTCGGAGATAGACAGCATCATTCGTCCTAAATTCACATTTGCTCCACACCTTACCCTATAATAGTTATTTATGTATCAAGGGCGTAAAATAGGCTTTTATGGACCGCAGCGTGTAAGTAATAGACCGAGCGATAGCGAGGGCTATTTACACGCCTAGGTCCATAAAAGCTAGTTACGGCCGAAATACATACAACATTTTATGCACGACCCCACGACCTGTATAATATATTTGATATCTCATGTAGGTAAAGTGCCACTTTAGGCCCGCAAACCCGGGCGGTAAAGTGCTACTTTACGCCCGGTCGTGCATAATAATGTATTTATTCCTTGCACTGATCATACAAAATGATATAGGAATCGTAAAAAAAAGTTGTATGTATTATATAAAGAGAATATACAAACACAAAAGTTAAAACATTGACATAAAGATGAAATGGGTCTAACATTCAGAACATTCAAAAACAATGATTGGAGGTAAACATTTAAAATACAATCGCCTTACTTCAGATTTTTGTCTCCAGAAATTCCATCACAGAATTGAAACTTTTTTCCAGCAGATAATCCTTCACTATTTTTTTTTTAATTTTGCGACAGTTGATATTTCCTTCATATCTGAGGGCAGGGAATTAAAGAACCTCGGACTTGTCGTGAAGTGTGACTTTTGAAAAATCTGAGTGCGGTGTAGGTAATCTCAACCGACTCAACCTCGGTAAATTACCGCTCCTTGTAGGATAAGTATGAGAATTTCCATTTGTTTCACGTAAATGACAGAATGATGCATGTATATAGAGGGTTGTGTTAGAATTTTATGTTTTTTGAAAATAGGTCCACATGATTCGGTATAGGAACATTCCTTATTGTTTTGATGTCAGCAACATACCCCTGAAAGACCCTGTAGATTTACATACAGTATGATGCAAATGTATGGAATAAATTCATTTCAAAACAAGACGACTTCCGAAAAAACCAAAAACTACACTTCAGAACTTTATTAATTGATTTATTTTTTTAAATAGACGACCCTTCGTTGTTCAATTCTCAGTAGCAGACCTCTGCAACATTCAGTTAATCAAATTATAAGCCATTTTAATTTCAATTTTCTTATGCAAAATGTTGACTGTTGAATAGACGATCAGTAGACCTTTCAAACGAGGTGTCACATGACCCCTGTTTTCATTTGAAAAAATCGTTCATTACGGCATTACTCCAACACCGGCGACGTCACATCTCTCATATGGATATCATGAGATGAGGCTTCAAAAATGAAACCTCGCGTGTTTTTGGAATTTTCTAAAATGTCGCCCATTTCTGAAATAATGAATTTATTCCATACATTTGCATCATACTGCATACAGTGACTCATTTGAAAGCGGGCCACCTTCATAATTTTTTTATTTACGAAGTGATTTTCTCGAATTTTTTTCTGAAATGTAGAGGGGGAAAAGGTGTAATTTGCAGCCAAGCGGCGTCAATGTTGAGAATTTTCACTCCCCAACATGAACAATATTTCATCCTCGAAACTATCAGAAGAACTGCTAGAACTTCTGGATCTGGAGACAAGGACTCCAATAACACTTTCAATACATCATTTTCCATTTTCCATTAGTTTTCGCCAATTCTGAACTTCTAATTGAAAACAATCTAAATTCCAATCAAATCACGAAAAGAAAAATGAATGAAGGAAAATTTTTCCAACTCGGTACAGATAATGATGGAAAATAAGTAGATGGTGCGCGTACTCGGCCATTTTAACGTATTGAAAACTTGAGAGAAATCACTCGACCGCCTGAATCAACTTTTTTCCGCTTAGATGGTGATGCTGCTATTGCTGCTGTGACGAGTGAAAATTAAATGGCAAACGACATTTTAGGTACGCGGAACTTATGTAAAAGTGGGTTTATTCACTATAAATTCGAAAAATGTGCGGCAATTTGAAAATTGGTGCAATGTCGCCATCTATCCGAAAACCACCGAAAACATTGTTCTCGGGAGGTCGAGAAGAATTTCTGAAACAAAAGCGCATCAGTAAGTGCACCATCTACTTATTTCCATCATTGTACAGATCTATTTCAGAGGACGCCGATTCCAGTGGTGTACACAGATTTTCTCTAAAAAAAATCGCTAAAATATTAAAAATTCACACATTTTTCGTATAGTATTAATTCTCTAAGTCGTCTCTATATGAACTACTTCATCCCACTTTGAGACAATAAGGACTTCTACAGTAGATTCATAAAATTTTTTGGCACCCATATCTTGCAATGTCGTTGCAGAAAGTTTACAGGCATAGATTATACACTGAGTGTTTCAAAGTACAAGTGTCTATTAAAAAATTGTTAATAGCACCCTTTATACAGTTTATTAAATAATTATCATATCACGGCAACACACATTCGATGATGAGAATGAACTGTTCATGCACCTAGAGGTACCGACTTTTCATGATAGTTTCAAAATTAATTTCGAGATATTTTGATTTCATTTACTTTCATTTCTCTCATCTATTATTATTCCAACAACGGTACAATGGCACAATATAAAATGGGACAACTTCTATTATTATAGTTCCAAGTTCGAATCCCTTGATTACTTCTGAAAACAATAAACATTCTAATAATAATCTAGTAAAAGGATGTAGCTATATATAATCATTTTTTGAAACATATAAACAAGGCAGGGAACTCCATATAAAAACATTTTACTGGCACATATCATATTTAGTTTCCTTTTTCGACTGATCGAAGAATTATCAAGGTATTCATGATTGGGAAACATAGACATATTGATGTTTCGTGTATAAGTCTGTAAATTCCATGCAATTAATCAGAGCTTTAACTATGAGTTACCAAACTGGAACATCGAAATTATGTCGTTACTATGAAATGGGCGTGTACACCCTAGTAGAACTTTTAACTCAAACCATGTTTATAATGATCCTTTTATACATAAATAATGATTGACGACATAATTCGATCGAAAAATTAACTGGAATGTTTCATTTTTGGACATAAATAATAGTACCTTCTGAAAACGGACCCTCTTATGACGTAGAAACCTCATCTCGCCATAGTTAAAAGAAAATACCAAACGCTCGACGGAGACTGAGGCAACTGATATATTAATTCTTTCAACTGTGATCTTGCGCTAATTCACTCTGTCAGAAATCATGTATCATTCATCTCTGTCTGGAATGATCTTGTTTCAGTATTAGGGTTTTGACGTCACATCATCGCCTCGTTTTCAGAGGTCCGAAAAATCGGGGATTTCAAATTTTTTTTATAAAACGTAGGGAGCTCACAGCAAGAAACGGTTTGCGGTGGTGAGCTAGTTTGGGTGAGTTCTATCGAATTATGAAATAAAATTTTTTTGTGATATAAGCCCATTAGTACAATCAAAAATATTTTTAATGGGAGGGACGTATCGGCAATAATATTGAATTTTATTTGGGATGGAGTGGATAACAATCATTCGAATCAATAGCTTATAATAGTTAGTTATTTATTATTATCGATACCTTTTTTTTCAGGACTTCAGTTTTGTTCGTGTCAATTACCTTCATAGTCCTGATGATCATATCTTTGACATGGCTAGTATTCTATTACGTACAGAGATTCAGATACATTCGTACCAAAGATAAAATTTCGGTAAGTCAACAATGGACAATAACAAAAAATGAAGAAGTCGTACAATGAATATCTTGTTCCAGAGAAGACTTTGCAACGCTGCCAAAAAAGCTCTGTCAAAAATTCCAACAAAAAGTTTGAAATCTGAAGATAAGGTAAGGATTTAGCTTCCTTTATTCAATAAACTTGGATTGATTCAGACGAATTTCAACCAACATTTCTGTTAGATCTTCAAGTTTTAATACATCACATCCGTTTTCAATATATTACAGAGATCTGAACTGAAAATAAAATGTTTTCAGGAAACACAAAGCGAAGTAGAATGCTGTGCCATTTGTATAGAACACTACAAATTGACAGAAACCTTGAGGATACTTCCATGTGGGTAAGTAGAAATTCCAAATTTCAAAATTTTCCCAAAGGAATATGAACATAATCCAGTTGGTTTCGAATTTTTTAACTAAACGCCTCACTAGCCATTCATTTGGCGCATTATTGCAGTGGCGTGCAATGCTAGGCAAAAATTTAAAAATGTGAAATGCAGAAAACAAAGATGCAGATGACATTGGGCCGATCCGTTGTCGTAGTAAATCCTGACATGTTGCCTTTCCACAAAACTTGATTGGACACTCGGTCCAATGATTGTCGCATTATCAAATGTCGCCACTAAATCTCCTGTAAATTTCAGAATGTCGCGACAATTATTGTCGTTAGTCGCCAAATTCAATTTTATGTCTCATTCCACCACATTTCACCAAAAAAAGTTGCCCTGGCCGTCTTCCGTTTGCTAACTTATTATTTGTTCGTAATCGCTCGGGTCTTTGGCCGGTGGAAATCGGCCCCGATCTGCGTCGCCACGGCTCGAGTGTCGATTTTCTATTGATCAGCGCAATTGCTTTGCTTTCATTTTAAATGGGATGCTTATTTGCCTACACCGAGGCCTACAGAGAGAGGGCAATAGCGGTGGGGCAGCGGGTGGTTTATATTAGTTTTTATGGATTGCATTGTATTATTATCAGTTGTGAGAGTACTCAGACATATAGAAGATCTATCTTTATAAACAAAATGAATATATCGGCAATAGAAAATTGTGTATCGATAAACTGAATTTTTCTGGGGTAGGCAATGCTATTATGCTTCTATTGTAAGCACGCCACCGCATTATTGCGACCGAAAACGACGTAATTGGCGAACTATTTTTGCGAAACTTCCACCATTCTTGTAATGTGTTTTTACAATAATTTAACTTTGTTCGTTTGAATACCCTTCCATATTCACAAATCGCCTGATCTGTACGTGACAACTGTTAAAAATAAATCTCCGTACAATTTATATTAACAAAGTGGTTGCAAATTGAAATTCGGCGCTCTTGTTGGGACACCCTTTACATGTAGGTCTGAGTATAATTACGCCTGTAAAATTTATTAACACAAATACTGAATTACCATTTTCATAGAAATTTGTCATAGAAAAAGAAGAAAAATGCCTGTCAAGATTTTTTCTTTGTTTTTTTTTTCGGAATTAAGTATTTTTACTGCCAAATAGTTATTTTTGTATATTCGCGATGAAAAATAACATGTCACCCCACCTGACGGCGACAAGTTGAATACTTCTGAGTGGTTTGTTTTGATGATATGACCAATCAACACAGACAAAAAACAAATGCAAAACAAAGTAAACATGCCGCTTTGACTGCTTTCAACAACTCCGATAGGTGGCGTACGCTTATTTTCTATCGCGAATAGAGCGCAAAATGCTACTTTGGCGATCGAGATCTGAAAAAATAGTCGAGATTTCGCGCTCGAGTTGCAAACAACATTTTTTCTACAAACGTCAAAAAATATAGTTCTAAAGTAAAAATCTGCTAAGCTTGACAAACAAAATAGTGTTGAACTGGCTTAAAAGGCCTCCCCCTATCCTCCCTAGGTACGCACGATGGTCCACGAACATAATAGGAATTTCCTTTCGTGCGCTCCAAAAGATAAAACAAAGTTATCGTTGAACATTCAGAAATAAATGATTTCGTGGATGTTCGCTCGATTGAGGACCATAAACTTGAAATATAAATTTAATATCTCATATATTTTACATAACAATGCGCGAAGTACGTACTTCGCACACTGTTTTACTTCGCGCATTGTTTTGTGCAAGGTATCATGGTAACAGAGGAAACTGAAAAATGTGTCACTTCGCAATTTGTTATCAATGCGTGAACTTTGTCATTTTTTGACGTGAAACTCAATAATAATCACAAAAAATGCCAAACGATGCTGACTAAAACTGTGACCATTTTGTTTTTTTCAGGCATGAGTTTCACAAAAACTGTATAGACCCATGGCTCCTAGAGCACAGGACTTGTCCAATGTGCAAAATGGATATACTCAAATACTATGGATTCGTGGTCAGTGCATCTCCTTTCTCTACAAGCTATACCTACTAGAGTAGGCCACCTGCTGTATAGTCACACACTTATCCTCCTATCTGTGATAATAGGTGATAGCACAAAATTCCCTCTTCTTTTTCGCATCTATCCACTCTGTAGCTCTTTTAACATGGTGGAGGTAAATGCTTGATTTCTTATACATTATTGCCCCATTTAAAAGGAAACAACTTGACTGACTCTTGAAATATTATCTGGTATGAAAAGTCGTGTTGAGGGTCTATTATAGGAAAAAGGAGAAACATCTTAAAAAATCTAAATAGAGGTTCTTGGATGGGATTGGGTGAGGTTCATTAATTTCTATATTTCTCCATTTCTGGAAACTGACTTAGGTGAGGATGTCATCAACTTATTTTTTCTGGGAACACCATATATCGAAAGATCATTTTGTATTGAAAGAATATTTGCCACCTAAAATGTTAACTTTAGGACATCCCAGTAAGAAACAAAAAAATGGAAATTGATTCATTTTCTTTTTCCTTCTCTATTCGCCTTTTCCTGTTTTTTCCCATTATTTTATATAAACCTTCCTAAAGACGTGTTATTTGTTCTAAAAGCAAACTGAATAAAGCATTTCTCTGTTCATGATTCAATTTAGATTGAAGGTCTATAATTTTAATCATTGCTTTTGATGGTTGGATAAATTTGAATCGCTTTACTACAGAGCTTCTCAGAAATCATATTTTCTATCATATCAACGTTGTATTATGGTGCTTGCTGTTTAATTAGATTTAATTTATTGAAATTTTCTTGAGAGGCAGGGACATTCACTTGCCTGTGTATCATTCCATAGATTAAGGTTTGTTTAATCCATTGTCGATCTAAATGAAAACCTAGTAGGCGACCTAGTACGCGAGGAGGTACAATATTGTCTGTTCTTTGAATCAAAATCTGTCTGCCTGTCAAGTGGCGCTGGCATCCTGAAAATGGAAAAAGCTCATTTGTTTATGTCAAAATAGACCATATTAGGTTGATATTGTCTTCTTCTATTTTTTTCCAATATGTTAATCAACCACAGATGTGCTTTCCATCATTGACGTGATATTCGATACAAAGGCGATGAAGAAGATTGTTTCATGAGATTGAGATGTCATGATCAAAAAATTATTTTCTGACAGTTGTCATTAACTTATAATTTCGTCTTTGTGAATATGTTGAACTTTGAATTCGTATTCTTGAAAATTACAATTATTCCTAATTGTTTCTTCTAGTATTAGTTTTCTATTGCAGTTTGTTGATTGGTTTGTGAGTGCGATTGTGTTATTTTGCAATGTTATCTGAAAACTTCGCACTCCAGGAGGTGGAGGTGTAAAATTATCAAGACCTGGTTTCTCCTATCCCCACTGTTGTGAATTTGAGCCTCAAATCCTGAGGCATCAATGAGTTTATGCCATATTCATTGGATTGCAAGGTGAAATTTTTTTCTTAAATCGTATAATATTTGAAACTTGATGCATTGATATTTCAGAAATGGGAGTTTTTGAAGTGAGCGAACATGATACTGTATGTTTCCAACATTTTAAGGGAACTGTTTCTTGCCAATGAAGAATTGGAAACGGTTTTGGAAGGAGGGTTCGGTTCCAAGTTTGTTTAAGGAAGGTATATATAAATAAAATGATATTTAACAAGTTCCTACCTATACAAACTTTTTGTAGCAATCAGCTTATTAGTTTCTAGTTGACTAGAACTATAAGTTTCAGTATAAAAATTACCAAGAACTTGACTTTGGTACCTCTAAAAATTGTTCCAGTCAATTGTCATTGAATTCATTTCAGAATGGTACAGAACATTGAAACTGGGGACAAAATAGATATCAAATATTTTTATAGTTTCAGACTCATCAATGTAGTTTGGAATATGATGCTGAAGAGAAACTCCTTCCTTAAGGAACACGACCTGAAGATGAGGAAGCATCTTAGGAGGAAACGGGCATTTGAATAGATATTATAGAATGATAATAAATAATAATAATGTTTATTCAAAATTTTGACAATATAAATTAAAAAGTTATACATATTGGTATTGAATATTCCTATGGTTTAATTTGTGGCAATTATAGACACATCTTCTCATATTTAGTGAAGTTAGTGGCTTCAATAAGATGATTTTATAAAAAATAATCATTGTTCAGCAAAACATATATTTAACCTAAATACTCATACCTTTGGTACAATATATAATGTTTTCAAACTTACCTGTCAATAAATCTGTACAACAATAAACAGGGTATCAGAGGAGAACAAATTAGTAGAATAAAAATTGCAATAATTCTTCATAATTATATTCAATTTATTAAAAAAAATATAATTGTATTGTCATTTCTACATATAAAAGTTATTCTCCAATAAAAAAATTCTAAATATCCCAGCATCTTGATATTTTGAGTTTGGAGCAGAATATCCATAAAACATTGATGAAATAAACAGATTGAGTCTAACCTTATTGCTTCTATATATTCATTTCAGATGGGAAATTTTCCATTCTGTTCTCAAACATCATCATCCTTCTGGTACATTTCTTCTAAACATTACTCACATAATAATTCCTCATGCGATTCTTCCACATCAATCTGTTTGTATCACTCATAGTTTTTCGTTTTTCAACTGAAAAGCTGTTCATGTAGGTACTCTTCGCTGTAGGTAGGTACCTGAAATTTTCAAGTATAGGTAGTGAATCCGATGTGTACATAGTTTACATAACTAAAGACATGTTTTCACTGCAAATAACGGAATTTCATGAATTATATAGTAACTTATCAAAAATATAGAAGGAAATAAGCAGCCCCTACCTTTCTGCTTGGCTTGCATGTCGAAAAAGTGTGAAAGCACTGATGAGTTTCCGAAGTTTCCACAGTTCCAACTTAAATTCAAGTTGCATCATAAGTCAACCTAATACAGCATTGCCTAAACATCTCCCTGCTTCCATTCAAGTATAGGTAGATGGTTTTCATACTTGATAATATCTTTCATGATAATGTTTCATTTTTGGGTTTCAACATGACAGATTTTTATTTACAAACTTGACAGGACCATGAAAAATGTTTGGGTTAGGAATAAAAAAGGAATAACTTAGTTTACTTGGTTCACATTGATGTCTCTGTACTACTGAACGCCTTCATTCATTTTTTCAAAGAACAGACAATATTATGCTCTCGCCTACTAACTACCTAACTAGGTTTCCATTTAGATCGACAATGGTTTAATCTATGATTATACTATTGTAATATGTTGTCATTTTATAAATAAGGGTGATTTCAATCGTTGTAAATAGTGAATCAGTGTGGGAAGGTTTATGAAAAATTAATGAATCATGTGTGATGTGTACCATGAATTCTACCTATTGTCAAATCTGAGAATAACCTGTTTTTTTTTATTCTGTTTCCATTGTGGGTTTCATAATTGGGTATATTGGTGAAAAATGTCTATGTAGATAGGTACCTACATAAAGGCATAGTCAAAATTTCAGCAGGAAAAGGGCTCAATGAATCTTCCATGTCAAACTTTTTGAGGTGGAATACATTTTCTTATCAAATTGAAGTAACGGCCGAGATATTTTATAGAATATAATATTTCAGATGTTTCGTTTTGAATGGGGCACCCTTCATACAGCTGTGTATATTTTCATTGCTTTCACGGTGGACAATAATTACAGACCTTCGCCAGTGGGAAATTATACCTTTATGATAGACAATAACATTAAAATATTCAATATGAATCGTTATACGCTTACCTTTTTTCATATTTTATACATCTAACTAGTCCGATATATGTTCCAGTATATAAGTCTGAATTTTAATTCTTATAAAAAGCTGATGGTTTGATCATTATACAGGGAAAAACCAATGTTACTCTCTCACCCTTAACTTATTAACGCCCTCTGTGTCAAAGGTTAGTGGTTCAACTTAGCTTCATCATGGTTTGGATTGAAGTGTGATCGCTTTTTATCACAATGGTTTCTCATGCACATCAATATCCTCTTTCTAAGAGAAGATACAACTGTTTTAATAAAGTATGGATATTTTCATTTTTTATAATGATGGAAATAAGTAGACTGGTGTACTTACTGATGCGCTTCTGTTTCAGAAATTCTTCTCGACCTCTCGAGTGTCTCTCAATTATGACATTTGTCAATTTTGAAATTTCTGCAGATTTTTCGAATTCCGAGTGAGATAAACCCACTTTTACATATGTCCCGCGTACCTAGAATGCCATTTGTCATTTTATTTTCACTCGTCACAGCAGCAATAGCAGCATCACCATTTAGCGGAAAAAAGTAGGTTCAACGTCTCGCTCGAAGTGACGTAGAGAAATCATAGTAGGCGGTGGAGTGATTTCTCTCAATTTTTCAATAAGTAAAAATGGCCGAGTACGCGCACCATCTACTTATATCCATCATTTTTTTATCAACAATAAAAACATGAGCTTTTTTAAATCGGATAATTTTCTCTTAATGACGAAAATCATTTGCCGATCAGTAATTTTACGATAAAAACTGACATGAAAAAATTGCGAGACCGTAGGTCGAGCAACGTTGTTTAATGTCAGTTTTTCGAGAGAAATAACTGATGGAAAATGTTTTCAAGTTAACAAGGACCTAAAGAAAGGTAATCATAATAACATGAAACAAACATGTATAATATAAAAAATGTTGCTACAGATAATCTAAGACGATACATTCTTCGGCCATACACACTCTGATATTAAAGTGATACTGATGAGGAATATCTGAAATAATAGACATCCCAACTTCAAAAGTAGTTCCCTACGTGTAGAAATAGGCTTTATAAATCATTTTGTGTTTACAGGGTATTGCAAATTACATGGTTCAGGAAATTTTTCTGTTCCTTTTTCGAGTAAATTCTCTTCAGATATTCAAAAATGTTTATAAAACATGGATTTGTGCGACTATTTATGAATGTTTTAGCAGCTCCATATCTATCACTTTTCTCCTACACAATGTTGTACCATAGAATTTGCATAATAATCCCTTGCCGATAACCTTCTAAGATGTATTATTTTGTAACTGGGAAACAAAATTCAACAAATTTAAAAAAAATTATGATTTTGACCGTGGCGTACTCATCCTACACAATTCAACTTCAGAACAGTTTTTGAGAAGAATAAAAATGAATTATATTTTCATAATTTCCAACTCTGAAGTATTGTTTGTACCTCATAATCGGTGTTTTGCTTAGTTTACTGGAAGCCAAGAGAGCATACTTCAATTCGATGCGGACATTGGGGGCCAAAACTCATTGGGAAGTTCCAGCTCCAACAGCCCAAGGAGATTGGGAGGACTTAGCCCTTTGCCTGAAATAAGGGCTGCGATAATATCTGACAGACAAGTAAGTGCATCAACCTCTCAATTCCATTATGAGAATAAAGATCGAATATTGGTACTTACTCCACTATTTGATCCAACCTGCATTCATGGAAGAGGTGTGGAACATACTGCTCATGCTTAAGCTTCCATATTTTCAAAAATTTTATAAATATTGTGTTCAAGAATGAAGAGATGAGTTCGAAGTTTACATAATATTTGGTATTCTATAAAAACAACATTCATCAATGTGGTTAGACTGGTTAGTTTTTTACATTTTCACTCAGTGGTATAAATAAAGCTGTGAAGTTAGTCATTCATCTACTATTTCATTGATTATTGCTATATTTCTGCCTTTTCAACGTTGATTTAACCTCACAATTGATATACTCTACAAGCATTGGGTTGAGATATTGCTACATTAGATTCAGTCCCCCTGATAGGATCATCCCAGCCAACCATCGTGTGACATCAACATCTGTGTGATGTAACAACCTTGCATAAATGCAATATCTCGTTAACACATCTTAACGACGTCGATTCGATATAACGTCGCAAGGTGACATCGCAACCAGGAAACTATGTAATGTGGCAGCGACTTCTTCAAACTACATCTCTTCGACGTTAACTAAATAATTCACATTGATATCCTCATGAGATATCTTTGTGACCTGTGAGTGTGACGCAGACATGCGCAAAACGAACGCACACGCCAGACGCCATGTTGAGCTGTGCATGGCCACGTCAGTCAGTCAGTCAGTGAGTCCGACTCTGTACAGACTATTTCCTTCCAAATTCTCTGTTGAAATATCTGAGATGATTTATAGCAGCTTCAAATTGGAGGTATACAATCATTTAGGAACGACGGTGAGTTCAATCACAATAGGTAATATTGTAATTATTTCTGATAGGAATATTGCAATCTAAATCAAGGTGGATGAAAGATCCCAAGATAATGTAAGTGTATTTGATATGTATCTTTTATGAATAATGTATATTTGTATTGCTATATATATGTGTCATGCTTTACTTCAACATTACTAATTAGGGTGATTGACATGATAAGTTTTGTATGATCTGTTTTTACTTTCGGAAAATAAACATTTTCTTCGTAAAGTTGAATAATGATTATTATTATATATCCCACGAATATCACAGGTACGGCGACCACATCATCGATGTCACAGTGTGATGTAATTGTAATATGAAATGTACACTTGTATGTGACCTGGTAGTGATTTTTCATGTGATGTCGCATTTCATGTCTGAACGACGTCACAGTGATATTGCTTGAGTCGGACATTTTCACATCGCCACGTTGTATCGGTAACATGTTTGTGACTTCAAATGAGATATCGCATATTATGTCACAAAGTGATGTGGCGTATACATCACTTATACATCTTATGGTTGGCTGGGATCGTACAAGTCAATGTAAAGCAGTAAGTATCTGAAATAAGGCATTAGTTATAAATATTCTCTAAGTGCTCTCTATACTGATATATTACAAAAACTCAAACGAGATTTATTTTTACATGTAGTAGAATGAAAGTAGCCCACCAACGTCTTCTATCAGTGGTTCTATCAATGATATCTTTGGTATCAAAACCTCTAGAACCAATATTTTTGGCATGTGATAGATTTTCCGAAATTGAAGGATGAATTTGTTGAATCCCTCAAAATTCTATTGTTTGATGCTATCCCTCTAGTGAAATACGTAATTTTTTTGTTTTCACAAATAATTTGGTAGGCATTTGATACTTTCTTGTCATATCTAGCATTAATAACAGATGAACAATATTTCCTTGAAATAGTGCCACATTTTTTATTAAAATCCCTCAGCCACTCCACAAATCACCAGAAAGAGCCACTATAAAAAGAGGAAAAAACATGACTGACTATGTGCCGATTCATGATGAAGAAAGAAAAACAAAAATTTTTCAGATGCCAAGATATTTCGAAAACTCCGTGGACGAAGACAGCAGCCGAGCCTCGACCCCCAACGAAATGACCCCCAGTCTGTCCCAAAGGGGAATTTTCCCTGTCAGACAGGAGCTGTGCGTCAGCTGCATAGCTGCCAAGGCTGCGGCCAGCCTCACTCAACTGGCGGCAGACAGGATCGTGGTGGACTCCAAGGAGGACTCCTCTTCTTCTTCTTCGTATAGTGACGGAGACATTCAACAAGTGCTTTCTATAGATTATTCGAATAGTGGACAGGACGCTAAGAGTCATGGCGGATTTACGAAACGTGATGCGTGAATTTCATTATTTCTTGATTGACAGAAACAAAATGCCTATGATTTTTTTTTATTAGGTACTTGCCATAGCAGTTATGGAGGCCCTTGAGGGAATTCCAACAGAATGTGTCTTCTTTTCTGCTTTGATAAAATGCGTGGGTATCGGCAACACCATATTTGATCATGACTTTCCCAGTGCGACTTCAATTGTCTCATTTCTTATTGAAAATTCATGACCGTACTTCCAAAGCAAGTAAGTGCTCTGCTATTTTGATATTGACCCTGTATATGTTTTTCGTTCTTTTTTATCCAGAGTTGATCATCATTATGAATAAATACTATCTATAGGCTAATGGAGGAGGTGTAATATTCATTTCTCTAGTGATTTCACTATTGAAAAATGAATAGGTATTTTGAAAAATTATGGAATCTTTGAACGTTTCAAGAACAAGGAATATAAGTATCATTTGTCCATTAGATATTCCCAGGTTAGATAGTCACTATATTGGCACATTTATTAAAAAGTATAAATGAGTAGCTAAAATAACATCTGCAACTTCTCACTCCTGGGCTATTTTCTTCATATTTCTCAACTAGGATAAGTTTCAAGTCACAGGCATTTTGTTTCCCTGTACTTAACGAACTAATTATTTTTATACTGACTTCAAAGTCCAACTTTTTGTGATAAATTAGTGATAAGTTTATATCGTCATAACTAACTTTGGAAATATTATGGTGCTTAACTTGAAATATTCTTTCCAATTTCTGATTGTGAATAGGTATCATTAGATTTTTTGTTTTTCACCATGTTTTTCAGTGATTTTTTCATGTAGGTATTTACTCTAATTATTGTTTTGTACTAGGTAGGTACCTTCTTTTTATTGGCCTATTTGAGAGAATTTCGGAATTGAAGACTCTTTGGAATGATATATTGTTGAAAGATACATTCTAAATTAGGATATAGTGATATCGTTTTATCAATACCTAGAACAAAATAGTTTTGTTGAATTAATTTCCTGCAATAATCACATTGAATTTTGATGGTAATTTGTGCAGCATTGTAAATTTTCAGAATTGAAAATAATGATCTACGAGGGTGACACTGCATATTTGGGAATCAGGTATGTATAATTTGAGATAATTTGAAATAAATTACTCTCATATATGAATATATGTACAGGGTGTGCTTCTTAAAATGGACCCCCTCCTTAACTCTTGTTTCCAGAGATGTGAGAAAATGTTGAATAAAAGAGTTGTTTGAAACGACCCAAACTCTTATTTCAAGAAGTTGCTATATATGCAGGGTGATTCGTTTTTCTGGTAAGGACATTAACTTTGATTTCTTCAATGGAACATCCTATATATTTTCTGACATGTCGATAGAGTTTTTTTTATGATTTCAGAAATATATATGGATTGCATATTTGAATAGAAAATAATTGAGTTATTGCTTATCAAAGTTTACCAAAATACCGCATTTTCCATTCAAACTGTCCATTCATATTTTTTTGTATTGAGATGAAACGATTTCCATTTCATAATGAACAATATCATAACATTTCCATAGAGCCTAAATAATATATAAACATTATTTCAAAGCCCACTATGCAGTGGCGGCTCGTGACTTTCATGACAGAGGAGGCTGAATGGTATGAGATTTATTGTGAAAAACAACTCTTTACTCACCCAAATCGATAGCTTTAATGACATTATGTTTACCAGTAAACCTGAACTTAAAACTTGAAGTAATGTGTTCCTGTGATTTGCAGTGTCTATCCAATCCGCGAGGCAAATTTTTCAAATCATTATATCCTAATCGCCCCCAACATGATGACTTATCAGATCCCGTCAACCAGATATATTTTTCATAATTATCAGAATTGAACGAACGATTTTGTTTGTTACCTGTTACAATCAGATTTTTTAATTCCGGTGTCGGACGTTTGTTTTTCACAATCCATTTATCTTCATAGGAGAAAGCACTGAATGGGTTTACCAAAAAGTATTTCACTAAATCGCAATCGTTCAAAACACTCATTTTTCAGAAATTTATAGAGCCCCTAACCATTAACCTAACATAAACTAAACAATGCACTCGCGCTGGATTTTCCGCAATTCGCGACGCGACACGAAAAACACGTGCTAGTCGGGCGTATTCGGCCGGTTGCGCTTGTGAAGGAGTCTAGCCTCCTATAGATGGTACCAAGTTGAATATTTCACTCGTGATTTGCAGACTTCAACGTGTGATGTGTGGGCAAGCACTGTTACCAACTCAAAAATATTTACCTAAAAACAGGAAATAAAATCAAAATCCATGTATTTTGGTGTTCTTTTAATGGGAAAGTATAGATAATATCAGTTTAAGGAAAATCTCTGAGGAGGCCCAGCCTCCGCTGCCTCCTCTGAGGAGCCGCCACTGCCAGTATGTTCAACTTACATTATTAGATTAAGTGAAGGTTCATAAAGTGGTATTTTGGTAAACTTTGAGCATCAATAACTCAACTATTTTTCTTCCAAATATTCAACTCATATATTTTTGAGATCAGAAATAAAGGCTCTATCAACATGTCGGAAAATATAGGTTGTTTAATTGAAAATATCAAAGTTCATGTCCTTTATTCTGGACAAACTAATGACCCTGTATATTAAACAATTTCACGAAATGAGATTTTGGGTCGTTTCAAAAAACTTCTTCATTCAACATTTTCTGATATCTCTGAAAAAAAAAGACTTAAGGGGGGTTCCATTTTAAGAGGCGCACCCCCTGTACAAGGCCATGCCCAAGATTTTTTTTTTCTGGAAAGTCCAAGAAAAAAAAAACTGCTAATTCAAACCTTTTTTCAAACTAAAGGGAAAAAGTCTGATTTAGGCTGTCCGGACCCCTTTCCTGGGCACGGCTTTGTACGTATGTATATATGAAACATAATTTTAAAAATGTCTGCAGAATATTAACTGATTCCATCAGATAATAAAAATAAATGGTAATATTTTGATTTTTTTATCCAATGTTGAGGACTCAAATCTCTAAATTTACAAGTATTTTACTGATTGGTGACGATTTTTGACTATTTTCCACTGCATTTGTGATTTGGAAATGGAGAATGTGTGCATATGAATGAAGTGCCTTGTGCTTGTGATTTTGTTGATTTTCCTGGACACAGTTTGGGAAATTGTACACATAAACAAACATTTATGTGTTTTTTGAGAAATGAGAAAATCCTTGTGATTTAATTTCGAATGTACAAAAAAAAATGAAATAGTTCATAAAATGAAAAAAAATCTTTCTGCTGATTGTAAATATCAATGCTACATTAACTGACTGAATAAAAACATGATATGCTAGATCTGTGTTTAATTTTTGCAATAAAAATTGTACATGGTCACTGAATGAATGACCCCTTATTTGACTATGTGCATTTGAGGAAGCATTGATTTTTTTTTCAACTTCTACATTAATATGAGTAGGTACAAAATAAGGAAAAATGCTCCGTCAACAAGAAATTCTCTAACAGAAGGAAATCAAGTTTAATAAACCTTATTTAAAAAACAATTGAGAATCACTAATGTTAAAATTGAAACAAATATGATCAATGCTTTCTCTCAGTACCCACCTAGGAGACATATCAGTTATTTTGAATTGATCAAAATCAGACAATAAATAACGGCGCTATGGTTTGTAGGTCCTTTTTTATCAGTAACCCTGTTAGTCTATGACTGGTGAATTTATACAATAACTGTTATATGGTGTGTCAAGAATCAAATGAAACTCAGGAGCAAAACCAATTTATTATTCAACAACACTGATAAAATATCTGCAACAAAATATGTATTATTTTTTGGTATACTATATGGATGCATAATCACATTCTAAAATAATTTGGCTTAATTAATTGAAAATTTAATTTAAAAACATTTCATTTCTTCTAGACATTTTTGGCTTTTTATAAACCAATATTTCATTGGTTTGGTTTCAGTAACAGTCCTGAACAAATTGATGAATTACTAAAACTGTTGAAAAAATATAAAATCTAATTTCGAGCGTAGAAATTAATGAACTTGATTAAATCAAATATAAATATTTGGCAAGAAACCTGTAACCTCATGTACATTGAATTTTGATGACACATAAAACCTACGTTCATTAGGGGTTTCTTTTACTACTATATTTATTATAGGGTGTTTTCCTATGATAATTTTGTGACTGTAATTTCTGATGTCCAAGTTTTTCCAGCTGGACACATGATATATGTATACCTAGAGAAATTGAAGAAAAATTGCTTCAACAAAAATTTGGGACTGCATCAAATTTACTTACATTACCAATATCCATGCCCAGTATAAGTGTATTTCCATAAAGATAGATACAGGTGATATAGGACCTAAAAATTTCCCAAGTGCTGAACATTTTCTTGCTGTATTTTTCTAGTTTCCCCAGCAAAAAAAATTCAATGAAGTCACATTTGAGATTGTCCTCGTTTTTACCTTAAAATAAAAACAAAATTCTCATCATACCAGATATTAAATTTTAATGGAAGGTGAAATTAAAAGACCATATTCTTCCATTCATTTTGGAAAACTGATATTGGTTAGTGTGTGCTCATATCCAGGGCGGGGCAGCACATATGACATGGAAAAAATATCATGGACTTTTTTTCCGGTTGGCTGGACGTTGAATTTTTGTATGGGCGATTTTGAATTATTACGACTCATACAGGGTGTTAAAATAATAAACATCCGGGCGCTTCAACTCCAAGTTTAGACAAATGTTTCTATCATCATCACGCCCTGATGGATAGCAAATTTTCCTATATATGTCGAGACTCTATTTCTTTGCTTTATCCTTCAAGTATATTAATCATCCAACTGGTTTAGATACTGTTGATATTGAAAATTTTAAAAATTTTGAACCAAGGAGCCTTCTCCTTTTGATATGATATGTCTTATATCTATTGGCAAAAGTCACTCAGTTTCATTTGAAACTATCTAGACATGTAATATCAGATGATATGGTTGAGAACGAATTTATGTTTTAATGGTCCTGAAATTTGAGTAATAAACCTTAGTTATAAACAAGTGGAATCGATTTCTATAGTAAAAATATAGTGTATCATATTCGACTAAACACATTGTAAATATATATATTTTTAATGTTTCTCACATATTAGTAATAAAAGAGAGTATCACATTTTATTTGATATGCAGAATGGGTCGTTGGATTCATCTTATATTGAAAGCAACTCCAAATTATGAAATTTTCTTGTCAAATCTCCGCAAATCTCCCAGGTAGCAGAATTAATTTTTGATAATTCTACTGCTAGGGAGGTTATAAGTGAAAATCACTGAAAATTCACATTCAGAGAACAAACATCTTGAATCTATAATAAGTAGAGAATGCAAGATGGACTATATAGTCACTTATACAGGGTGTTAATTAATTGAGTGCCGATAATACGAGATGTGAATCCTCGGGTGATTTTAAGGAAAAAAGTTTGTATCAACAAATTTCCTTAACCTCTTAGACCTCTTAGTTTTTGAGCTACAGGGTGTTGAAATCAGAGGCGTAGGTTATTTTTTCAAATCAAAACATTCAATATCGGGACTAAGTGAACATCACTCTGGTAAGAGTAAAACATTTATTTTCATCCCAAAACAAAATATGTTCCCACTCAAAATACTAAAAACGATCTCAATGAATTGTAGAACATTTTTTTTTTATTTTTTAGAGGAAACGTTACAACGCAGGAGAATAAGTCTAGGGACCGAATTTGCTCCAAAATAAGTGGGGACTTCAAAAATTATTTTGATCTTCGGAAAAATCAGTGGCATACCATTTTTTTCGTCAAAAATTGTCAGTTCAAACCCCGTACGGACGTCACTGGTAGAAATTTTAAAAAATCTTATGTCAAAAAATGCTCCTCAATGATGAAAATGTATGTTATACAACATTTTGGGTAGGACACCTTGATGATATGGTTCGTCCATCATCTACTCATCATGTTATATCATACGCTCGAGTATGGATTTGATGATATGGTTCGTTCATGTCGATTTAAAAAAAAATCAGTCTTGCCACGACTTTTGTTTTCACTATCAAGTAAGGATTGAATAGGTGGGAATATCAGTATCAGTCTCATAACCCTATTTCTGACGGAAAAAATGAAAATATTTTCAAAGTCCATGTAATGTCTTGGGTACGAACGATACATATCAAAGTCAAAATAGGTGAAATCCACAACACTCGGTATGTTATACAACATTTTGGGTAGGTGACCATGAAAAAATAGAACGAACCATATCATCAAATGGAAACAATTTTTTCCATCATCTACTCATCATGTTGTATCGTACGCTCGAGTATGGATTTGATGATATGGGTCGTTCATTTTGATTTTTCAAAAAAAATTAAAGTCCTGCCACGACTTTTGTTTTCACTATCAAGTTGGGATTGAATAGGTGGGTATATCAGTGTTGGGATTGAATTGGTGGGAATATCAGTATCAGTCTCATAACCCTACTTCTGACGGAAAAAATTAAAATATTTTCAAAGTCCATGTAAGGGCTTGGGTACGAACGATACATATCGAAGTAAAAATAGGTGAAATCCACAACACTCGGTATGTTATACAACATTTTGGATAGGAGACCTCAATGATGTGGATCGTTCATGAAAAAATAGAACGAACTATATCATCAAGTGGAAACAATTGTTTCCATCATCTACTTATCATGTTGTATCGTACGCTCTAGTATGGATTTGATGATATGTATCATTATTTAAAAAAATATATCTTGCCACGACTTTCGTTTTCACCATCAACTTGGGATTGAATAGGTGGGTTTATCAGTACCAGTCTCATAACCCTATTTCTGACAGAAAAGGTGAAAATATTTTCAAAGTCCATGTAAGGGGGCGGATGGGAATGATACATATAATAAAAGTAAAAAGTGGCAAAATATACTACACTCGGTATGTTATACAACATTCTCCGTAGGAGACCTTGATGTTACGGCTTGTTCATGAAAAAAAAAAATGAAGCATATCATCAAGTGAACACATTTTGTTTCCTCTTCTACTTTTTATCTAGTATCTCGAATGTGAATTTGATGATATGTATCATTATAATCACTATATATAGTGATTAAAAAAACGAAGTCTTGCCAGGACTTCTGTTTTCGCTATCGAATTATGAATGTATAGGTGGGTATATAAGCGCCATCTCTGACAGAAAAGGTGAAAAAATTTACAAAGTCCATGTAGGGAAGAGGACATGAATGATATATATCCACATCCAATATGTCGAGGCTAGAGGCCCCAGCCAACCATCGTGTGACATCAACATCTGTGTGATGTAACAATCTTGCATAAATGCAATATCTCGTTAACACATCTTATCGACGTAGATTCGATATCAACGTCGCAAGGTGACATTGCAGCTAGGAAACTATGTAATATGGCAGCGACTTCTTCAAACTACATCTCTTCGACGTTAACTAAATAATTCACATTGATATCCTCATAAAATATCTTTGTGGCCTGTGAGTGTGACGCAGACATGCGCAAAACGAACGCACACGCCAGACGCCATGTTGAGCTGTGCATGGCCATGTCAGTCAGTGAGTCCGACTCCGTACAGACTATTTCCTTCCAAATTCTATGTTGAAATATCTGGATGAAAGATCCCAAGATAATGTAATTGTATTTGATATGTATCATTTATGAATAATGTATATTTGTATTGCTATATATATGTGTCATGTTTTACTTCAAGATTACTAATTAGGGTGATTGTCATGATAAGTTTTGTATCATCTGTTTTTACTTTCGGAAAATAAACATTTTCTTCGTAAAGTTGAATAATTATTAATATTATACATCCCACGAATATCACAGGTACGGCGACCACATCATCGATGTCGCAGTGTAATGTATTTGTAATATGAAATGTACCTACACTTGTATGTGACCTGGTAGTGATTTTTCATGTGATGTCGCATTTCATGTCTGAACGACGTCACAGTGATGTTGCTTGAGTCGGACATTTTCACATCGCCACGTTGTATCGGTAACATGTTTGTGACTTCAAATGCGATATCGCATGTCACAAAGTGATGTGACGTATGCATCACTGCCAAAATAAGATCAAAACTGTCCTAACGGATCCCGTTCATTTTGGTCCTTCGCCAAAACTGTAGGAAGAAACTTCACTTCCTGCTCGTTTCCTCCTCTAACCAAGAAAGATGGAACACTAGCCACAACTGCCCAGGAGAAAGCCAATATTTTTGCGCCTTTATTTACTGGAAATTCCACTCTGGATTAATCGGGAAAACAACCTCCAAACATAACGCCAATTGACAGTCATATGCCGGAGATTACCTTTCACCAAGGTACTATGAGGAAGATTTTATTGGGTCTCAACCGAAGTCCCAACACCAACAAAGCTTGTGGCTCCGACGGAATCCCACAGATTGTTCTGGCTCTATTTTATAGATATTTTCATGGGCGATGCTCTTCTGAAATATCAACAATATCGCAGTTCCCGCGAGATTGACCCGTCGAGTTGAGGCTTTGCACCCCTTTGTGGTCACTTTGGAGACCTGCAGAACATCTCTTTCCAAAGACTCGTTCATCCAACGAACAGCGAGGCTCTGGAACATATTGCCAAGGGAGGAGTTCCCGGATCCATATAACCTCCAGAGATATAAGAACACAAATTCCTACCTTATTTCCCTTGGTTCTCATGAGTTCCCTGAACATTAAAGGATATCCATATTCCTGAGTACCTGAATATTAAAAAAAACATCCACCTACCTATCTTTAAACCCACCATGACAATTATTTCGTTTTAGTCAGCTACTATATACCTTTCCACCTAAATAATGAGTAAAACATATAAATATGAAAAGCATAATATGGGGCCCCCTCCCAGCTTTTATGTCTTACTCACCTCCTACTAACCTAGCTAGCTCCTTCAATTCAATTATATTCAATGATCTATCAACAAACACCTACCTATCTTTAAATTATCCTTGATAATTACTTCAGCTACTATACCGGGTGTCCCAACAGTGCGTATTTCTTTCATTCAGAGCCTGCATCACTCCCTATTTTTTCGAAAAAATTAATAACTTGGCAACGGCGCATTGTGGCGGAAAAAAAATTCAGTGCTGAGTAGGCAACAAAGGGACCATATTAATGACAAAAAAATAAAAGGGTTGTTCTATTTGAAAAATACAATTTTTTTGTTATTACGGAAAAATGCAACACCCTGTGAATCAGGAACTATTTTCAAAATGTGGCCTTCGTGGTGCCATGAAACTTTTATATGAAACTTTTTTCCATATATTACAGCATTATCCAGATATGGAGCAAATAAGCACTGTTGGGACACTGCATCCACCCAAATAATAAATAAAACATAAAAATATGAGAAGGCTATGGGGCCCTTTCCCAGCTGTTATGCCTGGATTACTGGCAAACATAAACAAAGGAATGGTTTTCTTGTATATACATCTATATTTCATACACACAATAGCTTTGTGATGAATATCATATTGATGTGGAAGTAGATAGGAATTGGACATGCATGAAGTTGTTAATTAGTCATTGGTTTAATAAAAATACAGCCCATTGATTGGGAAATGTCCAGCCAATAGGAAAGTTCCTGTAAAATTGTATTAGCTGCACTCAATTAATCAACACCCTGTATATCAGTATCAGCAGTATTTTTTCAGGACATTTTTTTTTATGGAACTGCATTATTACTCAAATTTACTAGTCTGAACAAATTTCCACTCACACAAACGTATGATGATATCATTTCTCAAAATCTGGGTATTCTGATTTTCAACTAGTGGAGAATTATATCTGATCCTAGTTTTCTTCTCCATAATATCCATAGGGGTGGCATCCTCAGCACCATATTGAATAGTTTTAACTTCATTATTGATGAGAAATGTACATATACCATCCCACATTTTCATGCAAGATAAACTAGATGGGGAATATATTCTAGAGAACCATATTTCAGCTAATTCTTTGTGCCCATGCCTACTAATGATTTTTGAAATGGTCAGTCTACCTCCTAATTTCTCATAACAGATATAGTTCCTGTAAACACTGAAAAAATGATAGTATAACTAGATTCTTTTTATTGTGATCAACAAAGAAGGTACTCACCTGTGTGACTTCACATCATGAATTTCCAGCTGACCCTTATTAATTCCATCAAAATAGAATATTTGAAGCCCTCTATTGAAGGAAATTACTAAACACAGACCCCTTTCTGGTTCAACTTCATCACCTACAAAGAAACATGGTATGATTAAGCTCTCTCCAAGGCTCCTCCAAACTCACTCTCTATGAAAGTCAAACTAGTGATTTTAACAGCTAATATTCGTGCCATATAAATCATCTTCCAGTTACTGGTGAAGATTCTTAATCTTCCATCTTGAGATCCAACTGCAATGAATTCACTAGATACTGCTAGACATGAAATACGGGGCACATCCACAGGACTCAGGATTATGTCACATACAACATTATCTAGATGTTCCCAAGAACACCAATTTATGTAGATATGTAGCCATCTATCCTCATCATTTGGTTTGTATTTCTGTAGGTACTCAATAAGTTGGTTGGCTGGGATTTCCTCCTTACAGCACCACTGCCAAATTCTCGTTTTCTACAAAAATGTTGTAGTAGTCAATTTCATTGTTGGAATACGAGTTGGGACTTACTTGAGTGAGGTAGTCAACAATGCTTCTCCATTTTGGGTCCACTTTTCTGGCATTCAAAAGAGTAATTCCATCGCATTTATTCAGGATCTGTTCAATGAGTTCAGGAGGTAAATTCATGATACTACTATAAATACACAAATGCACAAGGAAGGACGTCAAATAATATTATTTCAGGCTTTCAGACAAAGAATGATCATTGTTCTGAACTTAAAGGAATAGGGACACACAAATGACAGAACCCAAAAATCATACAAAATAAATTAGAAAATGAAACCGTTCTTTCGTGTGCATATTATTTTGATTCAAAGTTATTTTTAAGTTCGCGAAAAATAACAAAATAGCTGATACTCTGTTAACTGACTTTGTTTAGTTTGTTTTGTTGATTGTTGATTTGTTTGTTGTGCTGGTTTTGTTTTTGTTTATTATTTTCGGTTGACGTTTGCCACAGCCGGATTTTGCCAAAGAGGAGTTTGCGATTTGGCAAGAATCAAGTAGCCATGACTTTCGGTATGAGTGTCCTTCCAGACCAATCAAAACGATTCTAGCCATGGCGGTCAATTCGAACCTTCATATAATTCATCAATTTCTGTGGTGTACATACAAACCTAATATTAGACAGTTGCAGTAATCACTTTACGTAGACCCCCACGTAGACGTTTACGAAAAATAAGGTTTACGTATTGTCGTTAAACTGAGTTGAAGTCTTCGCTTTGGTCGCCACTGTCGTCGTAACGTAATAATATATTTTGTTTTCGGTTTGTATTTGGTCATTTTTGGTTGTGTGTTTAGATCCGAACATTTATTCCTGTTAAAATGAGAGGACTCCTTGATGCAGAACTCCTCGGGGATCCCGAATTTAATAATTTTGACTCATCGGCATATTTCGATTATTACGTTGATATTCAAGGTATACGTGAAAGTACGTGAGATAACGTACACCATACCGGTAAGCCCACTATCATTGCACTATCAACGCAAACGTGAATAATTGTAAAATGCGCATGCGTAGCTGTCATTTTCTACGTTTACGTTGACGTTCATGGCAACACTTCAACTCTCTAATATATCCAATAGTATAAAGAACATTGAAAGTTTGTATGGATTCAGTATTCATATTCGTTCATATTTATTCATATTTCGAAGATACGATAATCACACTACCCGTTTTACCACCAACCAAAACGATTTTTTTTGTATAAGTGGTGAAAAAGAATATTGTGCTTTCCATTCGTTATAATAGGTAATATTTTGTCGTTCATGAACTTTAGTTACTACATTGGTCGTTTCTCGAATATTTTCACATGGGTCTATGTTAGTCTATGGACACCAAATATATTAGGACGGACCTGCTCTGCTGGTCTGCTCTGCTAGTCCATAGTTTATCAATCTTGAATTGCACTCAGCCAAACAAACGAACGCACCTATTTCATTGCGCAAGTCTGCAGCTCGCATTCTCGAATTCGAACAGGTTGTTTTTTACTTTTCATGTTTTCGATTTCAGTCTTCATGAAGTAACGTTGATAAATCTGTGGAGTGAGTAAACGAACTATTTTATTATCCATACTTGAAAAACATCGTTTGCTTGTGTAGTGCAGTGATTTTCGGGAGATTTCCATTTATGGATGCTGAATAATAAGCTCGATAAACGGAAATATGGGGGTCATATTGCCTCCTCTGGAGTTCACAGAATGCCTCAGTGACAGTCCGTACTTTCGTGAAAATCTCCATAAACATGAGAGGGAACTCGAAAAAACCAACCAGCACATTAAGAGGATTATCAAAGAAGTCAAGGATTTGCTCTCTTCTGCCAAACGTAAGTGCACAAGGCCCATATTTACCAGGTTCCTTTAAATCGCTTTAAATGTGATATAATTATGTATAGTCATTATACCTACTATGTGCTTGTGTACTTACTGAACCCATCTATCATTATCTTCATAACTAATTTGACATGACCTGCATTTCTCTCACAAATAATAACTTTAGTATCCCAATTTAATTACTGGGTTCAAGAACAATATATTATCGTTTAGGATTGGTATATTATACCTATTATACCCATATATAGTGCCTCATAGGCTAGCGCCTCGCTTAGTATATTGCCTATATTCCTATATATCATGGGATTCGTTATCGTTATCAGATGATCTGCCCCGAGCGATATTGCATTTGCCCCAGAATGTCACTGCAGTTTTGATACACCAGCGTATACAGGGTGCCCGGAAAGGTCATGTCGTATATAATAGTGCTGATAGAGAGAACCAAAATAATGTTATTACTTCATATAAAAAAAATGTACCTATATCCTACTTCTTTACGGAGCCATTGACCTTGAAAGTTTGAATAAAAAAATCTCGATCGTAATATAATTATTTCTACTTTAGATGGCTCACCAATTCAAACAACCTAGGTACTATTTATCTCCCTATTTATTTAATAATTGATCTCCATATAAGCAGATTCTTTTACCTCGCGTCAACTAGGTACTGATAACATATTTCCTCTTACTAATAAAATAACTGATATCAGTTGATAACAACTCACATGCCTAACCCAATATGTTTGATCATGACAGGATGAAACAATCTGTAAACAATCCTATTATTATTATTCAAACACATGCCGACAAGCCCATCCGCCATCCGTACTACGTACTTCAGAATGATGATATCGTGAAAACTTGATTGCAATATTATTTTTTCATTTGAAAAATATCGATCCCAATCAGAGCTTCAAATTTCGTTTTTAATAGGCCTATAGTTTCAGTAAAAAAAGTTGATCCACCCAATGATGAAATACTCCCGGAAATACATAAATACAGTTCAGCACCAAGCAGGTCAGCAGCTTATAAAGAAAATTGCTTAACCCTCCAGAAGTGGCGCCAAGTCTGAGAGACCCGACGCATCTATAATCATTCTTCAATTGTCGACGATCAAAGTAAAATCTTCGTATTCCTAGGTACCTTCATATTTTGGTCACTAGTATCTCTACGTAAGGTTGGGGATGTGGATGTGTCGTTCCAAGGGATATATTGGACAAAAAGTCTGATAGACTAGGCGCCACCTTTGATGATATTTTTTTGTTAGTGATAGTGGACGGCATTTGTTATCAATTGCGTGAGTTATTTCTTATCATGAAAGATTATCAGTTGGTTTTCACTGTTGAAATTTCTAGAAATGAGTTACGAGAGGAAACAAGTGAGATTGCATCATAATATATGTGAACTATCGATAAATTTGATGAATGAATATATACAACGTTGTTTACTGGATGAGAAGGTGAAATTATATTCTTTTGGTGATATTGATGCACCAGGACCACCACCAACCAACCAAGTTTTTCTAGGATCACGAAAGAGGTTTTTTTTTGCACATGAGACTCGAAAACCATATTTTACTGTGAAAAGTGTAAAAAAAATTAACGCCTTTCTCACTTCAGAGCTTGGTGCCCAGCTAGCCTCAATTCACTGAAAAATCACTGAATGATGAGATTTCATTATATGTTTATCGATTTCTGTACGTGGAATTTTTTAACTTTTTGATTTTTTCTTGTGGCAGTGAAATTAATCGATATCAGCATAATTACACAAATTAGTTTTTTTAACGAATCCGATGATTATTTTGAGTAATACGTTCCGTTGCACAATAAAAAGCTTATTTTGAATCATCTCTCATCTTTATTCATCAGCCAAAATATTTGGAATTTTCACTTTTTCTAAAAGTTTGTGAGACCCGGCGCCACCTTTCGTTTCAACAAATAGGGCGCCACTTCCGTAGGGTTAAAAAGCAATAATGAGAGTGAAAAGGGGAAATTGAACAATAAATCAATAGTTATTATACAAGGGAAAAAGTAGTAAATTTTTAACAGGAGGGACACCTGCGATGTAGGCATCTTTATCAATATTTTTGTTTCAACTCGTTATCACATGACGGAACTTTGTTCGGAATAATAGCAGCAAATAAATTGCTGTGCCGTGGATTAGGGTAAGACTGAGGGGTGGCACATGTAGATTTTTGAGATCTACCATTCAATTGGTATCGGATGGCGTAATCCTTATCTCGTTAACAAATCGCGATGTCGAGTGCAAATTCTCGCACAGGAAAGTGCAATTTTTCAATGATCATGCTCAGGATAGTGTTTAACAGAGGTTCCGATCGATACACTACAACTTAATGGTTTGAAACCAAAATATGAAATATTCACCACAGTTCACGAGTACCTACGTCGAGACCTACGTCGAGAATTTATTCATTCACATTTTCTGTCGTGGATTCGAAGGATTAGAAGACGAAGCAAAAAATTCAACGAGTTGTGACAAAACACTGGAAACTAGTCGTGTGAAAACTGGATACTTGATTGATAGTTAACACTTATCAGTATAAATTGGAACTTATGTGTCGAGGTACACAGGGTGTTTCAGAAAACAAAACGATGAACGATTTGGGTAGTAGAAGATGTAAGACGAAACGAAATCAAAGTATGAATAGAAGTACGAAAGTATTTGGGGAGATATTACATTTCAAAGTTTAACTGGAATGTTTTTGAATCATTGATAAGAGAAAAACAGCCGAAACCGAACGTTTGCTTTCATCGAGGTCAGAAGCACTGCAAGTATCAATGATTTTTGCAATGTTGATTAAGATTGATTAACATAAGTGTGAGTCGTTCTGACCAATAATGAATTGTTTCGACACAAAAAAATCCTAAAGTTGCATAATGTCGTTTTTGAACACCTAGTAATCATTTCCGCTAGACACAAAGTGTGTGAAAATGCAATGAAATACAGGGTGCTCCATGTGAAAATCGATAGTTGATACCCGTTACGCTTCAAGATTTCAACTTTGGGACATGATAATTGCAGAAAAATGTGTCCCCCGCCAAATTTGAATCGACCTGTCCGAGCGATTTTCAATTTTTTTAACGACATCGGAGATTAGGGGGGTGACAAATTTTAACGGGGACACACTGTATCTATTTGTTGGACTAAGATGTGAATCACGCTCTGCATCATATTTTGTCCTCGATTTTGTCGCAATTGCTTTCAATATAGGACAAATGGCATGTTTTCAACAAAGCCTATTGACAGTTTAGGCACGTCTGTAACACGCCATGAAAATATCCGTGTTTATTTTTGTTCTTCTTATAACCCGATGTCCGCCGAAGCATGTAGGTATTTGTTTATTGTTGTTGTTGATTGTAAAGGAAGAACTAATTAGGTAGTAGATATCGAGACGAATTGCTGTATAGGAGTAGATTTGATTTGGCTGTGTCCAAATTTCGAATACAATGACATGTTTTTGCTTTCACTTTCTCTACTTTCCATTGGTTGAAAATATGGCTTGTTGCGGAGTTTTTTGTCATTCATAAGTACCCGACATTCGGGTTGACAGGCTCACTGGTTGAAAAAGTACACTCAGTTCCAAAAAAAAAAATTTCTTAAAAAAAAAATAGTAGGCCGATTTTAATTTTTTTTTATTTGTTATTGCATTTGTATTGCTGCGGTGTGTGGTCGGGCATTATCCTGCATCAATATAAAATTATTGCCGACTAACTCTGCATAAGGTAAGACATACTGCTCTAAAATGTCAATGTAAATTTGGACATTCATCGACTGCCTCACCGGAAAAACATGAAGGGGTGCCTTTCCATTCATTGAAATGCCTCCCCACACCATAACGGACCCACCATTAAAACTTTCGCATTCTGTTATCAAATTTTGATAAAAACCGTTCACCAATTCTTCTCCACACTCTTTTTCTTCCATCCACCATGTTGAGGCAAAACCTTGACTCATCCGTAAACAAGACATTCGACCATTCAGGAATATTCTCGGGAATATTCCACTGTCCATAATTTTCAACAAAATTTCTTCTAGCAGCACGATGTTAGGCCAATAATTTGGGACATTTTGCAGGTCTCCTAGCTTTTGAATTAACTTCTCTCAGACGTCTACATACCGTCTGCTTACTGCAACATCACGAATTTGGCGAAGATCTTGCTGAACATTTACCGCAGTATTTGATCGATTCCGTAAAATCCGCAATCTCAAGAAGCGATCATCTCTTGGAGAAGTTTTTCGGGGGCGACCAGAACCGACCCTCCGAGCGGTGCTTCCTGTTTGTTCGTACTTGCGGTTTGCTCTACGAGCAGTTGCTTCATGAACTCCCACTGCACGAGCGGCATAACCGAGGGCGTAACGTTTACTACGCCCATCGTTTACTAACGCAACTAATCTTGCTACTTGTTCAGGATTTATTTGAGGCATTTTATGTAATATTAGTCAATAAAACGAGACACTTAATTGATGACACAACGACAAATGGTCAAATATGGAGGCATACAACAAATTAGTTGCAATGGCAACGGCATTTGTTGTTTTAAAGACATTGTGATCCTACCAGAGTACAACCCAATCAATTTTGAGTACTCTGATCCTTCAATAAAATTAATTTGGGGTATAAGCGTAAGGTATCAGCAAAAAAGCTGTAATTCGGGAAATTTTAGAGATAAATCAATGAATAAAAAAACAAAATGCTCGCAAAAGAAGCCTCTTTCGTATAGGGTGTAAGCACTTTGTATACCATTACTCAATTAACACACAGGGTGAGTCAAAAATTAAGAATAAATCATGGTTCGAGTTATTCCACCATCAAGGAGGCTTTGAAAAAATTGTCACCTCTTTAATTTTTTTTAAGACGAATGCATTACCTACCAACAAATGAAAAGAAAAATCGGCCTACTATTTTTTTTTTTTTAAGAAGATAGGTTAAATATCAAGTGTATGAGGTGGTGAGTTTTCATTTTACTTGGTTC